TTTAACCTAATTAGCATACTTTAGTATTCCTTGTATTTTCCTATTCTAATGACCTAATTACATTGGTCAAACAATTACAATGGAAAGGAAAAATTACAAGAATGAAAATGAGCCCAATATTGGGTACCAAAAGCCCAAAGGCCCATGAAGCCCAAAACTAGGCCCAACTAGCCTAAAAAAGACCAAAATTGATTACGGCACGGTGGAGATGTCTGACTATGAGTGGGTGGACGGAGAGGTCGGGATATATTTTTCGAAGTTGTCCGACCAGGCGTTATTAGACGCCTTCGTGTCCTTAGAAAAATGTTTCGGGAGTGACGAGGATGAGTTTCCTCTGCTTGCCGAGGCGTGCGAAGATGATGGGCCGAGCACTGATTTTGTATTCTTGGAGTCGGAGCCCGACGAAGACGACTACTTTTATGCATATATGTGTTGGTTCGAGGATCTCGGCATACAGCTCCCATTCAACGACTTTCAAATGGGAGTTCTCTGAATATTGAATGTGGCGCCGACCCAGCTACATCCGAACGCTTGGGCAGCCATGCAAGCGTTCCGGAACTTATGTTTGTGCTTGGGCCTTGCTCCCCGACCATTAGCTTTTTTGTATTATTATATATGTCGTCCGAGCAAGCCGGTGAAGTGGGTTTCGTTAGCCCGGGTGCCAAAGTGTGGGTTTCTTCGGGCATTCACCTCTTCTTATAAAAGGTTTAAGAGTGGGTTTTTTAGAGTTCGTTGGGGGACGGAAATGAACAATTGTTTCTATGACCGGGAGGGCTCTTCGTTATTCCCCTTCTATTGGATGAGGCGGCCGACGCGGTTTGAGGCGATGCCCCTATCAAAGCTCCCGGCCGAGGACAGAGGGATTGTCGACCTCCTAGACCAGTTGCCGAAGGGTTTGCCTGTCCGAGGCCTCTTGGACATTTTTGAGACGTCTCATTTTGAGATGGCTTTGCTAGGTATGTATGTTAGGCTTCGGTAGTTTAGCAGTGTTTTGAATTGATGTTAAGATTTGTTTTGTTGCAGGTTTAATGGCGACTCATGAATAAAATTATATTATGCTTCTCTGATAAAAAATAAGTCTTATTATAAGATATCCTCTCAAACAAATATCATAAAATAACCTCATCAGTATGACAGAGCTTTTTTGTTTTGAAAAACTGATCTGTCTTCTACAACTCCTCTTTCTTAAATAGAAAGCAAGATATATCTTTTTACAAGGAGATGAAATATTACAGAAGTTATATAAAGAAGGGAGAGATTATAAGAGATTTTCTAACAACTAGAATATATACTACATACAAAATAATACAGCTATACTACATACAAAATAATACAACTATAATCCTATTAAAACAGGTAATAAATTACATTAAATATATATATTAACATCTCCTCAAATTATTGCTGGTAAGATAATCGGTAACAATTTGTCAACAAGAAACATGGCGCTGTCTAGTCATAGCTTTGGTAAAGATTGATCAAGGTCACAACACTCGATCGCTTATTTATTGTTCCAATCCAATGTAATCCCTATAATGATAACTAATAAGGGTGGCATATGATGAGGACTATTTACTAGTCAGATTAGAAGTCAACTAGTCAACGGATCCATGAAGCAAGCAACATATTCCATCGTTTTCTTCGAAAGACCAAAAACAGTTCGGTTTATGATAACCACGAAGACTCGAAGGAACGACCAAATGAATGGTTTCAGTTGAGTTGAGGCGGTGAACTGAAAATAGTAATAATATATTAACCATAGTGTCTGTCTGGATAAAATTTTTGAAGAGTTAGAGAATTTTTATTTATTTATTTTATTGAAAAACCTCATTATTTTCTTACAAGTTTTCATAAGTTCTTCAAAATTTGTATATAAACATGTTCATGCATTTATCTTGATATCACGTCACATCATGCATCTCAGTTTCTCTCTCTTATTTATTCTTTTTTCTCTCTCTTTTTCTTCCATCTTACACGAAAAGTAAGTTGTTGAAGAAAGGTTTTTAATAAATGATATGTGAAAAGGTCAACTTTGAATTGCAAAATATGGTGACGTTCAGATCATAAAAATTGCCCGAATGGACCGGACAAACCCAGTAAAACAGTAGTTCTAAAAAATACTCTGTAAATTTATTTGTCACAAGTGTTTCCAAACAAAGTGCACAATAAAACCAGTCTCCTCCTAAGCTTTTCTACATTCACATATACTTTAAGAAGGAATAAGGTGGAATAAGAAAAACTAGTGGTTTAGAGATTTTAGTAGTTTAAGGAGCAATGCCATTCAAAAGGTAGATCAGCTTCGAGTTTCAACTTTCAACCGTCCTCTACTATTTTTTAATTCACGGGGTGCAAAGGGTAGCACTCTTAGATTTATATTTTGTGTCAAAATGCTACTGCACCGAAGTATGTTGAGAAGTTTATTGGATGATGGATTTGATAAGCAACTGTTTTATGTGTTTATCCAGTGCCACCAAAAATTACATGATGAGAATGTGAAGTGTTTCAGAATAGAAGCAAGCAATTTGCAATTATGTGACAAAGATACAAAGATACTACTAATCAATGTTGATGGTATTGGCATACAATCAATTTCGTGAATTTATTGACATCAGATTGGGTGGTATTCTCCCTCCTCAAAAGACCAATGACTGTGTGTTAATGTGAAACATGAACGGTGGAATCATCAACTGGGTGCCAGAATCTGTTGTAAAACCAAAGGGAATCAGCCTCCACAGCAACTCCATCTTGATTTCGGTGCCAGCCGTAGTAAGCATGAGTTCGGTTCTTTATCTCAAAAATAGCATGTCCGAAGCTGGCCTCTCGGAATGCTGAGTACTCTGGCTGTGGTTCTGTCATACTGCAGCTCAAATGTTGTTTATGTCAGACAGACTTGGTGGTAAAAAAGTAAGAAGTGTGACAAGACTCACGGTGTTACATATATAAAAATGGACAACTTAGATATAGTAGTATTATATGTACTCTCGGTGCTATTATTGAATCAAAATTGAAAGTTTACATTAAATGTAAATACATATGGGTGAGATGAAAGTTCAATTCTAATTAGAGAATAATTATCAGTAGGGATGCAGTTAGAATTAAACTATAGCAGGGACCAAATATAAGAAAAAATTATTTAATAAATATATAAATATCAAAATTTTGTATAAAATATCTATAATACTCATTTTCAAAGTGTTTCACAAATATTTTAGAGAATATGTTTAATAGTAAACAAGTATTATTAATTGTTATAAGAATCTGCCAAATCAAAATAACTTATGCCACTCAACAATTTTTTTTGAACAATAATAGTCAATAATAATCAATAAAAATAAAATTTTCAGTAAATTATTAATCAAGGCAATAATAGTCAATAAGAATTGAAGATAATAAAACCACAAAGAGATGAGAAAAAAAATATAAAAAAATTATCGTAAAATATGAAAGAAATTCTGTTAATGTCATTTACAGTTCAATATGTCAATCTCTTATATAATGTACAAATATTTGTCTTATCAACAAATATTAATAATAATTTTTAATTCTCAAATTAATTTATAATCAAGTTCATACAAAAGGAATGAAAAGAAGTTCATTTTTATCACAAATACCATTATTTATAACTTTTAAAATTGCTATAAAAATTATATAAAGAAAAGAAACAATTAAAAAAATCAATTTATGTTAGTAAATAATTTGCTTTAAAATAGAAGAAAAAAAATCTAAGATCATAAAAAGAAAAACAGAATATTTGTCTATAAAAATATTTAAGATTTATATTTTGTGTCAAAATGCTACTGCACCGAAGTATGTTGAGAAGTTTATTGGATGATGGATTTGATAAGCAACTGTTTTATGTGTTTATCCAGTGCCACCAAAAATTACATGATGAGAATGTGAAGTGTTTCAGAATAGAAGCAAGCAATTTGCAATTATGTGACAAAGATACAAAGATACTACTAATCAATGTTGATGGTATTGGCATACAATCAATTTCGTGAATTTATTGACATCAGATTGGGTGGTATTCTCCCTCCTCAAAAGACCAATGACTGTGTGTTAATGTGAAACATGAACGGTGGAATCATCAACTGGGTGCCAGAATCTGTTGTAAAACCAAAGGGAATCAGCCTCCACAGCAACTCCATCTTGATTTCGGTGCCAGCCGTAGTAAGCATGAGTTCGGTTCTTTATCTCAAAAATAGCATGTCCGAAGCTGGCCTCTCGGAATGCTGAGTACTCTGGCTGTGGTTCTGTCATACTGCAGCTCAAATGTTGTTTATGTCAGACAGACTTGGTGGTAAAAAAGTAAGAAGTGTGACAAGACTCACGGTGTTACATATATAAAAATGGACAACTTAGATATAGTAGTATTATATGTACTCTCGGTGCTATTATTGAATCAAAATTGAAAGTTTACATTAAATGTAAATACATATGGGTGAGATGAAAGTTCAATTCTAATTAGAGAATAATTATCAGTAGGGATGCAGTTAGAATTAAACTATAGCAGGGACCAAATATAAGAAAAAATTATTTAATAAATATATAAATATCAAAATTTTGTATAAAATATCTATAATACTCATTTTCAAAGTGTTTCACAAATATTTTAGAGAATATGTTTAATAGTAAACAAGTATTATTAATTGTTATAAGAATCTGCCAAATCAAAATAACTTATGCCACTCAACAATTTTTTTTGAACAATAATAGTCAATAATAATCAATAAAAATAAAATTTTCAGTAAATTATTAATCAAGGCAATAATAGTCAATAAGAATTGAAGATAATAAAACCACAAAGAGATGAGAAAAAAAATATAAAAAAATTATCGTAAAATATGAAAGAAATTCTGTTAATGTCATTTACAGTTCAATATGTCAATCTCTTATATAATGTACAAATATTTGTCTTATCAACAAATATTAATAATAATTTTTAATTCTCAAATTAATTTATAATCAAGTTCATACAAAAGGAATGAAAAGAAGTTCATTTTTATCACAAATACCATTATTTATAACTTTTAAAATTGCTATAAAAATTATATAAAGAAAAGAAACAATTAAAAAAATCAATTTATGTTAGTAAATAATTTGCTTTAAAATAGAAGAAAAAAAATCTAAGATCATAAAAAGAAAAACAGAATATTTGTCTATAAAAATATTTAAATAAAAACTATAAAAAGATAATAAAATATTTTGTCAAATAAAAAATAAAAAATAATATTATATTCATAATAAATAATAATTTTAATATATATAAGAAAAATTAAAATTAAAAAAATTCAGGGAGGGTCATGGGCTCCCTAACGTAGCTCCATTCCTGACTAACAATACTTATAATATTGTATCTAAGTTTTATCCTATAGAGCTTACTTGGTTGCTAAGCCTTCAAGATTTCCTCCATCGCCAATGGTTATATATACAGGAGCTGATTGATCTTTTATAGGACTGCAAAGACCATTTACAACATTGTATGCAACATTGGAAACACGCTCCTGATACATAGTAGCACATCAATCAGATACAATTTCACAGAAGAATATTGAAGTTCATTAGTTGTAAAATATTTTTGTGCTTTTTTCCCGCAGGAACAGAAACTGAAGTTTACTTGCATGCGTATCTTACCAAGTTTGAATGCAAGCCTAATGATACATGATTGAATCTCGTGGTTTTCAGAAGCATGGTGTAAAAAATTTAAAAGGAGGAATTGAAGTGTTGGTAGCTTAAGAAGCAAAAGTATTAGCACTTACAGATCGTTCATAGGCATGAACATGACCAGCAAACACTACATCAACCTTGTACTTCACAAACCAGGGCTCATACATTACTCTCATCGTTTCCCCTTCCATATAGTGATAATTGTAGCTATTATACCAAGGTGAATGCATGAGAACAATCAACCAAGGAGTCTCTGTCCTGTTAACTTTCGGTAGCTCCTCTTCAAGCCATTTATATTGTGGTGTATATTTGCCTGGGAAAAATGAAGATTATTATAACAAAAGCAGTGACATCACATATAACTAGTGTATTTAATCCCAGTAGAAACAGAGCGGCAAAAGAAAGCAATTTAACTTTGATATGTTTGCACAGACACACAAGCACAGATTAGTTAATGCAAGTGTTGCTGGTTAAGGACTTAAGGACACCGACATCATGCTTTAGATAAACAGTAACATTCCACATTAAATGGAGAGAGATATTATTTAAAGTAAATGTTGTTGTTCAAGGCTTGAGGACACCGACATCATGCTTCAGATAAACAGTAACAATCCACATCGAATGGATACAAACATACATATTGTACCTTCCAGGCCCAGAGCCAATTAAAATATTTTTATCGAGTATATGTGGACTATTGTGTCAATTATCTATCAACTTAATCAAGACAAAAGCTCAACGGTTTAGCATCATAATTATATATACGGTAACTAGGTAATTATACACGGTAACTAAGGTCTAAGGTATTTATGTTGGGTTTTTTTGGAAAATATTTCAAGAAAATTGAGATATTAATGCACCCAAATACAAATATATAACCCCTTCTGGGTTTAAGATGGACAGGTTACCCACTTTGAATGCTCTGATCTTGGATAGTCACTAAGCCTTCTCTAATAACTTTTTCATACCGGAACACATACCGACAAATATATACATAGATAAATAGATTTAAGAATCAGAAATTATTTAGTCGAATTTGATCTTTGTAAGTTAAAGGTAATCACTAAGGTGAAATTATTACAAACAGAAGTGTGTTCTTCTGAAATCATAGAATCAGCCAGTGTTCTCTAAGTAAGTATATATCATGCAAAAGACATATCTAGTATTACCATATGCTGAATATGAGGCCAAGACAATGATGTGTGCTGAAGCTCTCTTGATAGAATACCAGAAGGGTGAAGTACTCTGAGATGCTCTATAAGGAACACGGTAACGGTGGGTATACGGCTTGAATGGTACGGTTTCACCCTGCAACATAGCAGTGATCTATGTTAAAAACTAACTTCTTCCGAAAATTTGAAATAGGAAAATGCATTACACGAAGGTTACAATTTATTGTTGAAAGACAAAATAAATAAAAGTTTCTCAAATAGTTTAAAACAAAATAAAGTCAATTCTTATAAGAAGCTTACAATTTCTGGAGCAAAATCAATTTCATGGTTCCCTGCAGTCCATATCCATGGCTGATAAGCAACACTCCTTTCTGTGAACCTTCCCCAAGTATCCCATCTAACATTATCATGATTTGGGTAGTTATCCGCATAAGACAGGTCTCCAACAAACAGTATAGTTTGTCCTTTTCTTGGGTTCAATTCATAGTGAGAAAGAGTCTTATTAGAATCAAAACTCTGACCAAGATCCCCTGCAAATAACGCCAACCAATTTAAAGCAAACATATTAGCCTATTAGGACACAGAGATATAGCACTTTTCCTTCTCAAATTCATGGTGGTGAATGTTCAACGGTTCATGGTGATAAATGTTAGGATACAAACAAAGTTTCGTACAATTGTGAAATACAAACAAGGTTTCATACAATTGATGAGATAAAAAAAAAAGGATCTCATACCGTTGAAATAAGAAGAGAAATAAGAGTTTATAAAGAACTAAGATACTCCAATGATTGAGAAATTTTTTATAATCAAAAACAAAATATTGAAGACTTAGGTCTAAAGCGAACGAAATCTCACCCGAGTTGTGTCGTGTGTGCAAATACCCCCCATATTAGCCTGCTACAACTATCTACATTATGAAATCTTGTCTAGAAAAAAAAAAACAATTATTCCCAACCACCCAATACACTGCAAAATTAAGAAACCAACTACTTCAAAGACAATTGATAAACATGAATATGTTTGTACCAAATGACAGCTCATATAGCAATCCCGGATTAATTTGATAGAATAATACACTTACCTATGAGACCAAATGTGTATGGCACATCAGGACCAATTTCAGGAGGAGTCATAAACCAAAACTGCCTTGTTGTGTTTGTAAGCCCAACTTCATAGTAGTATTTGCTGTTGTACTGCTCCAAAAGAAGCACAAATATCAACAATTGATTCATAAAACAAAATGCCCTTTTTCTTTTCTTCGTAGCTTGGCATCAAACTGGACAATAAACAGCATAAAAATAAAATAATGGACACGAGAAGTACCTCCAAGTGGCTGATGGTGGTGTGATGAATAAACCCAGAAGAGTAATTGAAGTACCTATAAGTAACAACTTTGCCTTCAGCAATCTTCTTCCTGTGACTGTTCTCACGCCAGTAACGTACTTCACTCGACCCCGGTTCATCCACCGTTACCCATGACACAATCACTGCTCTCCCCACAAGGTCACCTTGAGTTATATGAACCTAAATGCAGTGCAGCCATTGATTCAATTTCAAATCAAAGCAAGGAAAAAATCCCAAAAGGGTGAAAAAAGGCAAAAACATTGAACTTCAAAATGAGAATTCTAAAGTAGTCCACAACTTGATTCACAAAGCAAAACACCGTTCACCACTTCCCTCTTCTCCGAAGTCTTATCTTAGCTTGTAAATTGTAATCCTCCATCTAACAACAACAACTCAAGGTGCAGAAAAATAGAATTCAATCTTACAATTCCAGGGTTTGAACCTAACTCAACGTCAAAATCTAGCTTACAGGATAGGATTATTTTGACTTATATACACTATTTTGATCGCATCAGTGACTAACCTGAGATTTCTAAAATTGAAAAACAAGGGTAACCCAAATAAGGTACAAGAGATGAAAAGAGTAGGTACCTGTTGAGGAGCATTGTAACCAGGAGGGACTGTAAAGACATCGCTGTCAAGTGGCATATCCACAGTCTTCTCGACCTTCCTAACGAAGGAGCTGCTTGTGCCTCCATTGCACACCACACACACATTCAGAACCAAAGCAAATGCTAAAAGACCCTCCACAGTACCCATGTTGTGGATCCTATTGATCCAGGTCGTAGCACTCGATCTCGTATTTATTGTTCCAATCCAATGCAATCCCTATAAATATTAACTAATAAATAAGGATGTGCTAAGTATTAATGAATTGAATGGAATATGATGAGGAATATCCACTACTCAGATTATAAGTCAACTTGACAACGGGTCCGTGAAGCAAGCAACACAACATTTTACATCGTTTTGTTCGAAAGACAAAAAACAGTTCGGTTTAGGATTACCGCGAAGAAACGAACCAATGGATGGTTTCAGCTGAGTTGAGACTTCGAGGCGGTGAAATGAAAATAATAATAATAAAGTAATCATATAATATTCATGCATCTATCACGTCACATCATGCATCTTTCACTTTCTCTCTCTTACTTATTCTTTAATCTCTTTTTCTTCCATCTCATTCCAAAACCAAGTTAGGGACTGATATATGGAAGCCCTATTTTCGAATAAGGAAAAGATGCTGTAGATCATATTAAATATACAAATTTAACTCTTCTAAAATAAAAATAATAATATATACTCACAGTTATTAATTATAAAATCGATTGATATTTATAATAGAATAAAAAAAATTAAAATTAATAATAATATAATAGTTAAATTTTAATTAATAATTATTATATATACACACACGAAAAAGGAAGTTATTGAAGAAAGGTTTTAGATACAATGATGATGTGAAAAGGTTGACTTTGAATTGCAGCATATTGTATGGTATGGTGGCATTCAGACCATAGAAATTGCACGAATGGACCGGACAAAGCCAGTAAAACACTTTTTCTATATATGGTGTGAAGCATATTGGAATCTTTATGTAGTGATCTGGTTTATTACATTTTTCAATGTCATTTTCAAAAGAAGTGGCTATACAATCTATTCGGTTTCACGTAACAAAATGTAATGTGTGTTTGGATGAGTGTTGGGAAAATTAATTTTTGAATAAAATTGATTTAGTTAAACCTAATTTTGAATTGATATGATTTATGTTTAATTGTTTTTATTATAAAACAATATTTAACATATTTAAGTCTTTACAACTATGTTTGAATATATAAAAGTTACAAGATTTTTATAAATTGAGATCGTAATATATTACTTTCACTGAAACGTAGTATCATGTTTTATAAATACTACTTGTCATATATAAAAATGAATAAATTATATTATAATCAATCATAATTAATAAATTAAGATGTAAAATTAACATAAAAAATAAGATATTTAATTTCATTTCTTATATATAACAAATAATAATTTTGCCTCTAAAGATAAAAAGTAATAAATTATAAATATTTTAGTAAATTATAACTTTTTTAAATATAATGTTAGAAGTAGATTAGTGAATTGAAAAGTAAAAATAATATCAAAAATGATAAAAAATTTATTACTCATAATATATTAAAAAAAATTACATGTAATTATCTTATTTATATAAAATAATAAATTTATTAATTAATTAAATTATACATGTAAAAATAATTTGGTTGTCATAATTTAAAATAGACTTAAATATATTTTTAATCTCTTATAGAGTAAATTTGGTTTTGGTCCCTTAACTTTAAAATTGATCCTTTTAGTTTCTTATATACAAAAATATCTTGTTTAGTCTCTCAGAATACAAATAATATATTTGACACTGACAGATTGAAATAGTTATATAACATGAATTGAGTTTAATGTGATATTTTTACTAACAAAGATATTAATATGTGAATCTTGTGCGATAGTATTTCATATATTCATTAACAAAAATTTGGCCATAAGGATTAAAACAAAATTTGTTTAAGTTACAGGACTAAAAAGATCAATTTAAAATTTGAGATACCAAAAATAAATTTATCATACTTGAGAAACTAAAAATATATTTAAACTTTTAAAATATCATTAGTCATTTCAATTATTTTAATCAATATTCTATATTTTTCCAACTATTTCAACATTAAACTAACTAGAGTTAGAGTCAAGGACTAAAAGAGAACATTAAGAAAATGTCAAGGACCTAAAAATGACAAAAAAAACTTTACTGGGACTAAAACAAGACAAAGCGATATTTATTGGAACTAAAATCATATTTAAGTATAAAAATAATGCTTATATGTATTTGTTATTTTCTAAAATAAACAAGTTTTGATTTTGATCTTGTAAAATTTTCTCACTGATTTTAATACCTTTAAAATTTAAGAGTGTATTTTCAGTCCCTATTATATATTTCATGATCATTTATAATTATTGTGTGTTAGAAAATCAAGTAACCAACCCCAAGCGTGTGGTTCAGCAGTAGGGGTTGATTTATTTATCTATTGCGAAATTTAAGACTATAATCAGACCCGTTAAATCTTGGGGCCAGCTTAAGCAAGGTCAGGAGTTCAGCAGTAGGGGTTGATCCACGTTTAAGTAAGGTTAGGGGTTCAAATCCTGCCTTGTGTATGCAGCCGCGTTAAATCTTGGGGTCAGCTATCCCGTCCTTTGAGGTGCCTCCAACGCTATCGACGGTGGCTACTTCAGGGACGAACAAAAAAAAAAAAAATCAAGTAACCATCTTAGATGATATCCACAAATGTATGTGATACTTTATTAGTTTACAACACCTTTAAAATTTGGCTATGTATAAGTGTAAGTAATCCTCAATTTATTAAATCAAGTACGAGATTAAGATAAGTATATATATACCTGTCATGTACATGTACCTCTTCTCCCTTTAAATTTATAAAAACTTAATATAAATTTTGTATGATTTACTTGACATTTACATAATTTTTATTTTATTTTAAATAAAACTTAATTAATATAATCCTATAATTGTTACTTTGTTGAATTTATATATATTCTAAAAAAATAATTAACTTTTGAGTGAAAGTAAACTCGATACTCAACAGGAGAATAAAGATGGAGATGAAAATTTTATCCCCAAGTGAGATGAAAACAAAAATAAATATAAGATAAGAAAACAATAAAAAAAATGTGGATACTAAAATAAGTATCTGTCACACCTTATTGTCATACTTATCATTAGGGAAAAAAAATAATAATTTTATATTTTAGAGAAATAAAAATATTTGACATGCATCAAAACTAATTTTTATTCATTTTACAAAGATAAAAAATAATGTTAACAAATTTTTAAAATAATGTAAAAAAATTAATGCAACCATAATACAATTTTACTTATTTTAAAGAAATTAAAAATATATTTATAATGATTAATTACATTTTTCAATGACATTTTGAAAAGAAATGATCAAATAAAATGTTCTATTTCTCATTATGTGTATAATTTGAAATTCGATTCAACTTTTTTCGTACTTTACAAATATTATACATTAAATAAAAAATTAAATATGAGAAGCTTTATATTAATTTATGAAGAAATAAAATAAAATTCATCTACCAAACACTTATTAACATTCTCAATTTTATATGGTTGAAAAAAAAACTTTTCGAATAAAAATTTTATAAAACTAATGAGTATAACTTTTATATTCAAGCATGATTCCTTTTTTTTTTCTTTCTTTTTTTATTCAAACATATTGGAATATTTTACACTGATTGATTACATTTTTCAACGTCACTATGAAAATAAATGGTCATAGTCAAATCAAATCAACTTATAGGCTGATGCTATTTAACTGTTTTAATGGAAAAGTTACAAATGTTACGATTATTTTATGAGATATGCTTGATAAGTAACTTTTCTTTCAACATCCACGACAATTATTTTATGAGATATGCTTGATCCGTATATTTTTAACCCATATTTTAATCTTTTATTTTATTTATTAAATTTATTTTAGTTTTTTTAAAATATTTATTTTGATCTTTTATCTTTTAAATTTGAATTTAGTTATTTTAGAATAATTATTATTTTTCTTCTAATTTTGGATATTTTTTTATTAATTCAAAAACTTGAAATTTATCACATAAATTTTTTTTATACGAAAATTATTAAACATAATTGAAGTTTGAATAATTTTTTTTATAAATATAGTAAAAATTACATTAAAATAAGTTTAAAAAACAATTAAAAATTTTAAAAATATAATTTTATATTATTTTTTAATTATTTATGAGACATATTTTTTACACAATTTTTATTATTTTATAATTTTTGGATTTGAACACCGATTAAATTTCATAGTTTTTATATATTAAATTTAATGGTATAAATTTTAAGTGTTGAATTAGTCTAAAATTAATTTAAAATTATATTATAAAATTAAAAATTATTATTATTTAAAAAAATCAAATTAATCCAAATATAAAGATAAAAAACTAAAATAAACATTTTAATAAATAAAAAATTAAAATAAATCTTAAAGAATAAGATAAAGGATCAAAAGTATAATTTAACTAAATATTAAAAACATAAAACTTATAAAGTTAGTAACACTTCATATCTCTCTCAACTTTCAAGGAGTCACAATTGGTTTTGCACCCGGTGATTGAAGTTTTTTTTACCGAATTTTATTCATTTGAGGAGGTGTATTTATCAAAGAGATATGATACATTCCAAATTTTTTTTTTGAAAGGTGAAAAGTTGAAATAATTAAATTAAAATATTATTTTATTTTAATTAAATTGACAAAATGTTAAGCTTTAAAAGATCGAAAGATTTTTTTTACTGATTTTTGTTCACTTGAGGAGATGTATTCTTCCAAGAGATATGATACATTCCAAATTATTGTTTGAAAGGTGAAAAGTTGAAAATATTAAATTAAATTACTATTTTTATTTTAATTAAGTTGACAAAATATTAAACTTTAAAAGGTCGAAAGATTTTTCGGTATTTGAAATTCAAAGGATACAGTATTTTCCTTTACCAAAAGCAACATAATGTATTATACTTTTTTTTTTTTGAAGGGATAATGTATTATACTTATGTAACAAATATTTATATATATCTCTACATTGATATTGAATTAAATTTTATCAATTTATTTTTAGTTATTATTTAAAATATCTCATTTAAATGAAGAATATATATATGTTATATATATGTAAAAAAAAATTAGTGATGTGAGATCGTATTTATAGTGTAGCTCAAAAAAATGTTTGGAGGAATCAAAATAATTAAATATAATTATTTTAATAATATCATTTTTATAGATATTTCAAACATTCATATAATTCTAATTCTACGTATAAGATATACTAATGTTTTATTTAATAAAGAAGAAATAGATAAAAAAAAATGATAGAAAGTAAAAATAAGAAAGGCTTTTTAGTTGAAGAGAAATATAAAAGAGAAAAATTGAAAGATGATGGCTTTCATCTTTTTATTTATTTATTTATTTCTCTTTTCTGTCTCTTATACATATCTTATTTTTATACATTTTTCACCTATTTTTCTTTAACTAAATAATCAAATTTCTATTTTATTTTTTATTTTT